CGCCCGGCCCTTTTTTTGTATTTTTAATAGAGTTGCGGTTTCACCACGTTCGCCAGGCTGGTCTTGAACTCTTGACCTCAGGTGATCTGCCTGCCTCAGCCTCCTAAAGTGCTGGGATTACAGCCGTGAGACACTGCGCCCAGCCAAGGTCAGATCTTGACTCAAATCCCAACTCTACCTTTTACCTGCTCTGGACCTTTGGCAAGTCATTTAACCTCTTTGAGGCTCAGTTTCCACATTTGGAGGTTGTGCCTGTGTATATGTGCCTCACAGGGTATTCACGAAGGCCAAGTGAGAAAATGCGTAGCTGAGGATGCTGCTGGGGAGACTTTAGACCACTCACCTGTTGCAGTTCTTTGTGAGGTCCCCGTACTGATGGACATGGAGTCCATGCAGCCCAGGCTCCAGGCCGTCAATAGTTCCCTCGATGAGGCAGCGCTCAGGGGTCAGCTGTAGGAAGCGCACCACCCCCTGCACGGTGCCAGGCCCCCCCAGGATGGCTACTGCTGCCCCCAGATTCTCTGCAAGGTATTAAAACACTTGGGCTGCCTTGCCACCTCACCCAGCACACCTCTTCAGCAGCTCGGGAAGGGCAGGGAGTCTCACATAATTTTCACACCTTTCTCAAAGCCACTGCAACCCAGAGCTCGAGACTCCTATGGTTAGATTTGTACCAGCTCTGAGCCACCTCCCTCCCAGAGAGGCCAAGGCCAAAGCCATAGTGGTCACTCACGCAACTGGCCACTGCCCATGCCCTTGAGTACCGCCTGCCGCCCCGTGCCTTCCAGGAGAGCCTGCACCTCCTGGCTGGGCAGAGTGGTGTGTACCAAGACCATCTGGTTCTCCAAGTGCACCTCCACATCCTGGACACCTGGCAAGAGAGAGAGGGGAGAGGACAATAGAGGCTGGCACCCACTGCTGGCAGCAGGGAACAGAGAAACAGACAGCGATTCTCCATCCCCATATCCACCAACCTTCCCATGGCCAGAGGCAAGCTACCTTGCAACTGTGTAACCCTGAGTAAGCCTCTTCGCCCTGAGTCTGCTTCTTTTCATATAAATAAGGATAATGCCACCTTGCCCTAAGGATTTCTATGAGTCCTAATACATGCCAGGCATTATTTATAACTTTTGAAAATTACAATTTTTTTCTGAGACAGAGTCTTGCTCTATCACCCAGGCTGAAGTGCAGTGGCATGATCTCACCTCACTGCAACCTCTGCCTTCCGGGTTCAAGTGATTCTCCTGCCTTAGCCTCCCTAGTAGCTGGGACTACAGGCATGTGCCACTAGGCCCAGCTAATTTTTGTATTTTTAGTAGAGATAGGGTTTCCATGTTGGCCAGGATGGTCTCAATCTCTTGACCTTGTGATCCCCCAGCCTCGGCCTCCCAAAGTGCTGGGATTACAGGCGTGAGCCACCGTGCCCGGCCTAAAGTGGTGTTTTTTAAGTGGGCTATCCATAGCACCATTACTCATAATAGCCATAAGGTAAAAATAACCCAGATGCCCATCAACTAATGAACAGATAAAATGTGGTATCCATACAATGAAATACTATTCAAGAATGAAATACTGCCAGGCGCAGTGGCTCATGCCTGTAATCCCAGCACTTTAGAAGGCTGAGGTGGGCGGATCATGAGGTCAAGAGATCGAGACCATCCTGACCATGGTGAAACCCCATCTCTACTAAAAATACAAAAATTAACCGGGCATGGTGGCACGCGCCTGTGGTCCCAGCTACTCGGGAGGCTGAGGCGGAAGAATCCCTTGAACCCAGGAGGCGGAGGCTGCAGTGAGCCGAGATTGTGCCACTGCACTCCAGCCTGGCAACAGAGCAAGACTCCATCTCAAAAAAAAAAATTAAATGCTGATACATGCTGCAACATGGACGGACCTTGAAACATGTTACATGAAAGGCAGTCACAAACGCCACATATATTATATGCTGCCTGTACATAAGATGTCTAAAATAGAGACATCTAGAACAGAGACAGAAAATACTCTTCCTGTAGGAGATAGCTTAACTTTTTTTTTTTTTTAATGCAGATTCTCACTCAGTTGCTCAGGCTGGAGTGCAATGGTGCAATCTTGGCTCATTGCAACCTCTACCTCTCGGGTTCAAGCAATTCTCCTGCCTCAGCCTCCCAAGTAGCTGGGATTACAGTCATGCACCACCACACCCAGCTAATTTTTGTAGTTTTAGTAGAGATGGGGTTTCACCATGTTGGCCAGCCTGGTCTCAAACCCCTGGCCTCAGGTGATCCGCCTGCTTTGGCCTCCCAAAATTAGGATTACAGGTGTGAGCCACTGCACCCAGCCAAAAAAAAAAAAAAATTTTTTTTTTGAGATGGTGTCTTGCTCTTGTTGCCCAGGCTGGAGTGTAGTGGCACAATCTCTGCTCACTGCAACCTCTGCCTCCTGGGTTCAAGCGATTCTCCTGCCTCAGCATACTGAGTAGCTGGGATTACACATGCCCACCACTACGTCCAGCTAATTTTTTTGTATCTGTAGTAGAAACAGAGTTTCACCATGTTGGCCAGGCTGGTCTTGAACTCCTGACTTCAAGTTCCACCCTCCTCGGCCTCCCAAAGGGCTGGAATTATAAATGTGACCTATCGTGCCCAGCCTCAGGATTTCTTTTGTAAAAAAAATTTTGTAGATGTGGGTTCTCAATTTGTTTCCCAGACAGGTCTCAAACTTCTGGACTCTAGAGATCTTCCTGCCTGGGTCCCCCAAAGTATTGGGATTACAGGTGTGAACTACCATACCTGGCTTAGGATTTTATTTTTTTCAGAAACAGAGTCTCGCTCTATCATCCAGGATGGAGCACAGTGGTGCAATCTTGGCTCACTGCAACCTCCACCTCCTTGGTTCTCATGCCTCAGCCTCTCAAGTAGCTGGGACTATAGGCACATGCCACCATGCCCAGCTAATTTTTGTATTTTTAGTAGAGACAGGGTTTCATCATGTTGGCCAGGCTAGTCTGGAACTCCCGACCTCAAGTGATGCTCCTGCCTCAGCCTCCCAAAGAGATTCCAGGGATGAGCCATCATGCCCACCTCCTGCCTAGGACTTCTTTATCAAGTGATGAAAATGTAAACCTAGGGCAGGGCGTGGTGGCTCATGCCTGTAATCCAAGCACTTTGGAGGCCAAGGCGGTCGGATCACCTGAGGTTGGGAGTTCAAGACCAGCCTGACCAACATGGTGAAACCCCATCTTTAAAAAAAAAAGAAAGAAAATATAAACCTAACAATGGAGAGATGGTTGCACAACTCTGAATATATTACAAACAGCTGAACTATATCCTTTAAATGAGTGATTTATTTATTTATTTTTAAGACGGAGTCTTGCTCTGTCACCTAGGCTGAAGTGCAATGGCGCAATCTCAGCTCACTGCAACCTCTGCCTCCTGGGTTTAAGAGATTCCTCTGCCTCGGCCTCCAAAGTACCAGGTACTAACTACAGGTGTGCGGCACCACACCCAGCTAATTTTTTGTTTTGTTTTGTTTTGTTTTGTTTTGTTTTTTTTTGAGACGGAGTTTCGCTGTTGTTGCCCAGACTGGAGTGCAATGGCACAATCTCGGCTCACCGCAACCTCCGCCTCCTGGGTTCAAGCAATTCTCCTGCCTCAGCCTCCCGAGTAGCTGGGACTACAGGCATGCACCATCATGCCCAGCTAATTTTTGTATTTTTAGTAGAGACGAGGTTTCACCTTGTTGACCAGGATGGTCTCGATCTCTTGACCTCATGATCCACCCGCCTCGGCCTCCCAAAGTGCTGGGATTACAGGCGTGAGCCACCACGCCCAGCAATTTTTTGTATTTTTAGCAGAGACGGAGTTTCACCATGTTGCCCAGGCTGATGTCAAACTCCTAAGCTCAGGTGATCTGCCCACCTTGGCCTCCCAAAGTGCTAGAATTACAGTCATGAGCCACAACCCCTGGCCTAAATGGGTGATTTTTACAGTACATGAATTTTATCTTTTTTTTTTTTTTTGAAACAGAGTCTCGCTTTGTCACCTAGACTGGAGTGCAGTGGTGTGATCTCAGCTCACTGCAGCCTCTGCCTCCTGGGTTCAAGCAATTCTCCTACCTCAGCCTCCCAAGTAGCTAGGACAACTGGCATGTGCCACCATGCCCAGCTAATTTTTTTTGTATTTTTAGTGGAGATGGGGTTTCACCATTTTGGCCAGCTGGTCTCAAACTCCTGACCTCAAGTGATCTGCCCGCCTCAGCCTTTCAAAGTTCTGTGATTACAGACGTGAGCCACTGTGCCCAGCCTATCAATTATATCTTAATAAACCTGTTACACACATAAAAGGGAGGGACTATAGCCATCATCAGTAATGTTGACATTTACTGGGCACAGACTGTGAGCAAGGCCTGTGTTTGACCTTTCTTGACATATTTGGTACTTCTACTAAGCCTGAGAGTTAGGTACAATGATCCCTATTTGACAGATGAGAAAATTGAGGCACAGAAAGATGAGGAAACTTGCTCAAAGTCACACCGTAGTAAGCTGTGCAACTGGACCTCTGCCCATGCAGCCTAGCTCCAAAGTCCAGCACTTAACCCAGATATTCTGCTTACCCTAGGAAGTAGCCCCTAGGCTCCAGGCTGGGTTAGGACCACACCCTTTGTGGTCCTGTAGCAGCTCATGCTCCCCCTCCTGTAATTCACACTGTGCTGACTACAATCCTCTGTTTCACACCTAGACTGCCAGCTCTGTGAGGGGAAGTGCTCTGTGAGGTTCACAAGGGTCAAGTTCAAAAGTCAGTTGTCAGATGGCCAGGTGTGGTGGCTCAAGCCTGTAATCCCAGGCTTGAGCCTGGGATACTTTGGGAGGTAGAGGCAGGTGAATCACATGAGGCCAGGAGTTTGATACCAGCCTTGCCAACATGGCATAACCCCGTCTTTAGTAAAAATACAAAAATTAGCCAGCATGGTGGCATACTTCTGTAATCCCAGCTACTCGGTTGGCTGACGTAGGAGAATCACTTGAACCCGGAAGGCGGAGGTTGCAGTAAGTGGAGATGTGCCACTACACTTCAGCCTGGACGACAGAGCAGAGTGAGACCCTGTCTCAAAAAAAAAAAAAAAAAAAAAAAAAAAAAAAAAAAGGCCGGGCACAGTGGCTCATGCCTATAATCCCAGCACTTTGGGAAGCCGAGGTGGGCAGATCACAAGGTCAAGAGATGGAGGCCAGCCTGGCCAACATGGTGAAACTCCATCTCTACTAAAAATACAAAAATTAGCTAGGTGTGGTGGTGGATCCCTGTAATCCTAGCTACTCAGGAGGCTGAGGCAGAAGAATCGCTTGAACCTGTGAGGTAGAGGTTGCAGTGAGCCAAGATCGCACCATAGCACTCCATCCTGGGTGACAGAGCAAGATTCCATCTCAAAAAAAAAAAAAATCACACTGGCTTTTATGTGCGAAACTATTAGAGGGGACAACAGAAGCAATGGGGAACCCATCAAAGGATGAGGTTCGTACATGGGCTGGGGAGAGGCTGGTGACCTGGAGCAGTGTGGAGGCCTTATTATGTTTTAGACACACAGCAGATAAGATGTCCTGATGACAGGCCTCAGCATAGGGGAGTTCCCAGACCCTGGGGTCTCCAGAGAAGAGCTGATTCCCTCCTCCTGAACTAGGAAGCTCCTTGTCACTATGCACGTCCTGAATTCTTGACTGAGTCTGAGCCAAGACGGAGGCAGCTAAGCAGCCATTCAATTTGATCCTTAAGACTGGTAGACCTCGGAACATGGCCAGGCCCAGCCTTGGTTGGCTCAGAGCCCAGTGAGGGAGAAAACAGAAGGCCAGACAACATAGAGTCACCAGAAATCTTTATCTGGTGCTTTAAAAACATGCTGAGGGCTGAAAATTGCCCTGGGTCCAAGAAAAAGGCCAGCTCTCTGCTCTCCTGGCAGGCGAGTTTTACAGGAAGTTGAGGGCTCAGGCACCACCCCAAAACACATCGCCTAAGCAAACCCAGCTTCAACATTGTCCCCTCCAGCTTCCCTCCAACAAGATCACCACCTGTAAGCCCTTCCTCTCAAAACCCCCTAGGGTTTATTGGGCTATTACTACAAGCCAAAGACTTTTCTAAGTGCTCTTTTTTTTTTTTTTTTTTTTAGACGGAGTTTCACTCATGTTACCCAGGCTGGAGTGCAATGGCGCGATCTCGGCTCACTGCAACCTCCGCCCCCTGGGTTCAGGCAATTCTCCTGCCCCAGCCTCCTGAATAGCTGGGATTACAGGCACGCGCCACCATGCCCAGCTAATGTTTTGTATTTTTAGTAGAGACGGGGTTTCACCATGTTGACCAGGATGGTCTCGATCTCTTGACCTCGTGATCCACCCGCCTCGGCCTCCCAAAGTGCTGGGATTACAGGCTTGAGCCACCACGCCCGGCCTAAGTGCTTTTTTTTGTATTAACTTGGTTACTCTTCAGGAAAACCCTCCAGAGTAGCTTCTATTATCATCCCCCATTGAACACTGAAGAAACAGAGACACAAAAAGTTACATGCATGAAGTCTTAGTGCCATTAAGTGGCAAAGAGGGGGTTTGAACTCTAGAGCTCACGCCCCTAACCACTATACAGAGTCCACCACTACCAGCTTCAGAAGCCATCTCATTTCATTCTCTCTCAGAATTGCTCTTTCCATGAAGTGTTCTGTGAACACCATCCAGGCAACGCTTGCATGCTCATTTCCACCTGAGTGCAAGGGATGTGCCTGATAACCCTGTGAACTCTTCTCCCGAAAAAGCCCCAGTATCTGGTCCATACCTGCCGAATGATTGGGTAAAATTTTTTTTTTTTTTTTTTTTTTTTTTGAGATAGGTTCTCACTCTGTCACCAGTCTGGAGTGCAGTGGCACAATCGCAACTCACTGCAGCCTTGACCTCCTGGGCTCAAGTGATCCTCCTCCCTCAGCCTCCCCAGTGGCTGGGACTACAAGAGCATGCTGCCATGCCCAACTAATTTGTGTATATTTTGTAGAGAAAGGTTTTTGCCATGTTGCTCAGGCTGGTCTCAAACTCCTGGACTTGAGCAGTCCACCCAGCTCAGCGTCCCAAAGTGCTGGGATTATAGGTGTGAGCCACTGAGCTGGGGCTGGGTGAACACTTAACAGAATCAAAGGAAGCTAGTTCCCAGAGCCATGCTAGTGGCTTTACCTTTCCAGATATTTCTAATTGTGCCAGGTCACCTCCAGACCAGCTGGCCTTTTAAGAACCAGAAGCTACCCAGGATGGCATAGGACCAGTGCTACTGTTTGCTTTGTCGACATTATGGTTGTTTCCCAAACAGAAACTGCCTGTTATCCAAGGAACTCCCTCAGTCTAACTGCCCGTTTTCCAAGGAACTCCCTCAGTCTAACTGCCCAGTCTCCGGGGGCACAGGAGGTTCAGGACTGCAAGACAGGCAGTTAGAGCCTGTCACAGCGCAAGCTGGAGAGCTGTAGTCCAGGCTCTGCCTCCAGGTCTGTGTGTGACTCTGAGAACATTCCTTCCACTCTCGGGGGTTCAGTTTCTGCATTTGTAAAATGGGAGTAGGGTTCAACTAATAGATTCACCTGGTCCCTCCCAGAGGCCTCTTGACTGTCCGCAGAAAATTTTACCCTGTTCTTACCTGCCACCCCTTGCAGGGACTTCCGAACTGCGTCCACACAGCTCTGACAGGTCATCTGCACCGCAAACTCCAACTGCAAAGGCAGCACGGACCAACCGATGATCACTGGGGAAGCGCCTTGGTATGACTTTGTTTCACCACCTACCCTATGACCACCCCCTGAGCCTGGGAACAAGCCCCACATAACCCTTTTTCAAGCACCTTCTTCATGATCACTCATGAGCATTCCAGGACCGTAGTGTCACCTCCCCAACACTCACGCAGGCCCTCTGCTACCCTGGCACCCTAGTTTCACCCCGTGGCCCCAGGCCCCAACCCAGGTGCCCACTCCATCCCCTCTTCCTAAGGGAACAATCACCCCAGGGGCCAAAGCTCTCTGCCTGGTGAGGCTCCACAGGAAGCCTCGACCCTCACCGTGCAGAGGGTCCCCTGGGTCCCCGAGTCCGAAGCCATTCTGGACCCAGTCACCAGCTCGAGACGCACAGCGGCTCCGGCGCAGGAGCGCCAACCAGCGCTGCGTCGCGGGGGCGGAGCCTCGAAACCCACTCCTTAGCTCCGCCTCCTAGTGCGTGCGCGCGCCAGGCCCTGCCCCTGTCTGCCAAAGCGGCCGAGCAGGCGCACTCGGCCGCAGGGTCCCTGGTTGCCTTAGTAACCACTCGGCTCTCTGTTCACCAGTGGCACCTGCCGCCGGCGCTAAGATGGAGCCCGCGAAGCCGGAGCGTCAGCTCCAGCGGTTTTACCACCGACTGCTGCGTCCGTTGTCTCTCTTCCCCACTAACGCGACGTCCCCAGAGCCTCAGAAGCGCCCCCGACAGGAGGGCCGGATTCTGCAGTCCTTCCCTCTCGCGAAGCTGACGGTGGCGTCGCTATGCAGCCAGGTGGCCAAGCTGCTGGCCAGCAGCGGGATGTCAGCGCGAGTGCCTCCTGAAGCCCGACTACGTCTCATCAAGGTCATCCTGGATGAGCTGAAGTGCAGCTGGCGGGAGCCGCCCGCCGAACTTAATCTGAGCCACAAGAACAACCTGAAGCTCCGGAAGCGTCTCGAGGCCTACGTGCTGCTGAGCAGCGAGCAGCTCTTCTTGCGCTACCTGCACCTGCTGGTGACCATGTCGACCTCCAGAGGGGTCTTCACTGAATCAGCCACCCTTACCCGGTTGGCCGCCAGCCTCGCCAGGGACTGCACACTCTTCCTCACCAGTCCCAACGTCTACCGTGGCCTGCTCGCCGACTTCCAGGCCCTGCTGAAGGCAGAGCAGGCCTCTGGAGGTGTGGACAAGCTTCGCCCCGTCTGCCCCGCCGGGACGTTCAAGCTGTGTCCCATCCCCTGGCCTCACAGCACTGGCTTCGCCCAAGTGCAGTGCTCTAACCTCAACCTAAATTACCTCATCCAACTCAGTCGTCCACCAGAGTTTCTCAGTGAGCCAGGAAAGATGGATCCAGTGAAGGAATTGAAGTCCATCCCTCCGCTGAAGAAGAAAAAGCCTCTTCACTGGCTGCCCTCCTTAGGAAAGAAGAGAGAAATCGACATCAGTTCCTCACCGATGGTGTCGATGCCCAGCTATCCTGTGGCTCCTACCAGCAGGGTTTCCCCGTCGCCTTTGTACTCCGAGCTCCAGAGAAGCCAATCCATGCCCTCCCTGCGTGAGGGCTGGAGACTGGCAGATGAGTTGGGCCTTCCTCCACTCCCATCTTGCCCCTTAACCCCGCTGGTCTTGGCTACAGAGAGCAAACCAGAGCTGACTGGGTACATCGTGGCTGAGGATCTGAAGCAGTTGATAAAGAACATGAAATTGGAGGGGACTCGCTACCCACCCCTGGGCCTGCCTCCTCTCCTGGGGGTTGTGACCCGTCCCCCAGCTGCAGGGCATCACCTGGAGGAGCTGGAGAAGATACTGAAGAACCTCCAGGAGGAAGAGACCTCTGGGCAGTGGGACCCCCAGCCACCCAATTCCTTTCCACTTCACCCACAGCCAGTGACCATTACTTTGAAGCTTAGGAAGGAGGTTGTGGTCCAGGTGGCTGCTGTACAGGTGTCTGATAGAAACTTTTTAGACTCTTTCCACGTTGAGGGGGCTGGAGCCCTATATAACCATCTGGTTGGTGAACTGGATCCTAAAGCCATTGAAAAAATGGATATTGATAACTTTGTTGGCAGTAGTACCAGGGAGGTCTATAAGGAGTTGATGAGCCGGGTCTCTGCTGACCACTTACATTTTGATCAAGGGCCCCTAGTTGAGCCTGCAGCAGATAAAGACTGGTCAACCTTCCTGTCCTCAGCCTTTCTACGTCAAGAAAACCAGTCTCGAATCATCAACCCTGAGCTGGTTGGACTTTACTCCCAAAGAGCAAACACTTTACAGTCCGATGCTGAGAAGACGTCCCCCTTCCCATCACCCCAAGCTACCAAAAGCTGGGAGAGGTGGTCAAACAAGCCCTCCTTGATGAACTGGTGGAAAACCACCTTGTCTGTGGATGACTACTTCAAGTACCTTACCAACCATGAAACAGATTTCCTTCATGTAATCTTTCAAATGTATGAAGAAGAGGTTCCTGGGGAGACTGTGGCCCCTGTCAGTGAGTCCCTAGAGTTTCAGCACCCTCCCCCATTGCTAGAAGATGAAGAACCAGACTTTGTGCCAGGAGAATGGGATTGGAACACTGTGCTAGAGCACAGGCTAGGAGCTGGGAAAACCCCCCACGTGGGAGAATCACACAATACCCTGAGCCTACAGAAGCGTCTGCAACAACTGTGGTCTGTGCTTGAGGTCCCCGACAAAGACCGGGTGGACATGGTCATTAAGTACAGCTCCAAAGCCCGTCTGAGACAGCTGCCTTCATTGGTGAATGCCTGGGAGCAGGCCCTGAAGCCCATTCAGCTGCGGGAGGCGTTGCTAGCGAGACTAGAGTGGTTTGAGGGACGAGCTTCCAACCCCAACCGCTTCTTCAAAAAGACAAACTTGAGCTCCAGTCACTTCCTGGAGGAGAATCAGATCCGAAGCCATCTCCACAGGAAGCTTAACTTCATGGAGTCTTCTTTGGCTTCCCTCCTGGAGGAGATTGAGTCAATCTTCGGCGAGCCAGTGATCTTCAAGGGGCGGCGCTACCTGGACAAGATGAAGAGCGACAAAGTGGAGATGCTCTATTGGCTGCAGCAGCAGCGGCGGGTTCGCCATTTGGTGTGGGCCCTGAAGGCCCCCCCACCAGTCAGCCCTGTTCAAGAGCTCAGCAGCCAGCCTTTGGTAGCTCCTAGAAATACCCATATTATCCCTTGACCAGGCCCAGTGTCCTCAAATGCCTCCCTTACCCCCAAATGGCCAGCAGCTCATCTAGACCTCTTTACTGCTTTGGAAGAAGAAATATTTGTCTATATCTGGGAGTGCAGGGTTCAGGAACATTATGCTTCCAACTATGAAGGGACTGGGACTAAAACTATTGTTGTCACAGTGAAACTCTCATAAAAGAATCCCCAAGCCTGGTAGTCCCATTATGTCAAGCATTGCACAATACAACCCAAATCTCTTACCCTCAAAAGAACTGAGGGCTGGGCATGGTGGCTCATGCTTATAATCCAAGCACTTTGGAGGCCAAGGCGGGCGGATCACCTGAGGTCGGGAGTTTAAGACCAGCCTGACCAACATGGTGAAACCCCGTCTTTAAAATAAAATAAAATATCCGGGCGCGGTGGCTCAAGCCTGTAATCCCAGCACTTTGGGAGGCTGAAGCGGGGGGATCACGAGGTCAAGAGATCGAGACCATCCTCGTCAACATGGTGAAACCCCGTCTCTACTAAAAATACAAAACATTAGCTGGGCATGGTGGCGCGTGCCTGTAATCCCAGCTACTCAGGAGGCTGAGGCAGGAGAATTGCCTGAACCCAGGAGGCGGAGGTTGCTGTGAGCCGAGATCGCGCCATTGCACTCCAGCCTGGGTAACAAGAGTGAAACTCCGTCTCAAAAATAAAATAAAATAAGAACTGAGACCTTGGAGTTCATTGTAGTGGGAAAGGTCAGACAGGCAAAGTTGATCTTTGGAACAACTCACTTTAGCATTCCTATCACACTACATTAAATTGTCACCTCTTTTAGTTCTCACACACTATTAGGAAGCTAAAATTAATTAAAATGTTACCAGTTACATGCATATGGTACAAGTTATACCAGGATGTGTACTGAAAAGTAAATCTTCCCATGCCTACCTCCAGTATCTCAGTTTCCTGTTGTGGGGATAAGTGTTACAATTTGTTTTTTTTTTTTTTTTTTAGGTGGGGTCTCACACTGTCTCCTGGGCTGGAGTGCATTGGTACAGTGGTGCAATCTCGGCTCACCGCAACCTCTGCCTCCCAGGTTCAAGCAATTCTCCTGCCTCAGCCTCCTGAGTAGCTACAATTACAGGTGCTTGCCACCACGCCTGGCTAATTTTCTGTATTTTTAGTAGAGACAGGGTTTCACTATGTTTGCCAGGCTGGTCTCAAATGCCTGACCTCGTGATCCACCCACCTCGGCCTCCCAAAGTGCTGGGATTACAGGCGTGAGCCACCACAGCGGCCTACAATTTTTTTTTTTTTTTTTTTTTAGGACGGGGTTTCACCATGTTGGTCAGGCTGGTCGTGAACTCCCAACCTCAGGTGATCCACCCGCCTTGGCCTCCAAAGTCCTTGGGTTATAGGCGTGAGCCACCGCACCCAGCTGTACAATTTTTAAATTTAATTTTTATTTTTTGAGACAGAGTCTTACTCTGTCGCTCAGGCTGGAGTGCAGTGGCACGATCTCGATTCACTGCAGCCTCTGTCCCTCAGGTTCAAATGATTCTCCTGCCTCAGCCTTCTGAGTAGCTGGAATTACAGGTGCATGCCACCATGCTCAGCTAAATTTTGTATCTTTAGTAGAGACAGGGTTTCACCATGTTGGCCAGGCTGGTCTCAAACTCCTGAGCTCTATCAATCAGCCTCAGCCTCCAAAAGTGCTGGGATTATGGGTGTGAGCCACAGCACCTGGGCCTTTTTATTTTATTTTATTTTTTTAATTTTAGAGATGGAGTCTTGTTCTGCTGCCCAAGCTGCAGTGCAGTGGCCTGATCATAGCTCACTTTTAGCCTTGAACTCTTAGGCTCAAGCTATCCTCCTGCCTCAGCCTCCAGAGTAGCTGGGACTACAGCTGCTCACCACCGCGCCTGGCTAATTTTTGAAGTTTCTTTAAAAATATATGTAGCCGGGCGTGGTGGCTCACGCTTGTAATCCCAGCACTTTGGGAGGCTGAGGCGGGAGGATCACGAGGTCAACAGATCGAGACCATTCTGGTCAACATGGTGAAACCTCGTCTCTACTAAAAATACAAAAAATTAGTTGGGCATGGTGGCGCGTGCCTGTAATCCCAGCTACTCAGGAGGCTGAGGCAGGAGAATTGCCCGAATCCAGAAGGCGGAGGTTGCGGTGAGCCGAGATCGTGCCATTGCACTCCAGCCTGGGTAACAAGAGTGAAACTCCGTCTCAAAAATAAAATAAAATAAAATAAAAATATATGTTTTTTAGAGCTGGGTGTGGTGGCTCACGCCTGTAATCCAAGCACTCTGGAGGCCAAGACGGGCGGAGACCAGCCTGACCAACAGGTGAAACCATCTTTAAAAATATATATATATACATACACACACACACACACACACACACACACACACACACATATGTATATATATATATATATATGTTTTTTGAGATAGGGTCTTGCTCTGTTGTCTAGGCTGGAGTGTGACCTTGGGTGGGGGATTTCATTTCCTTTTCATTCATTCATCCATCATATATTTGATGTACATTGTCTATTGGTGTGGCACTGAGGAAGCAGCAATTAGGAAAGCTGAGAAATCTCTGCCCTCAAGGAGCAGATTCAGACAGAGCCAATAAACATATACAGTGGAAATAATGGGGGAAAGAGGCATGGGGAGACCTGTGGATCACCCATGACCTGCAGCCTCAGAGACATTCCTTTCCTCCCATGAGAGTCTCAGCTGAGTATAGATTCTACCTGAGCCTAACCAAGCCCTGTAATCTGGACTTTGTGTTTCTCATCTCATTATAGTTTTATCCTATACTTACAAGACATCATGATGCTCACTTTACATAACAGAAATGCTCAGAGAAGCAGAGCAATTTGCTCAAAATCTTTTAGAGACCAGGTCTCTCTCTGTCATCTAGGCTGGAATGCAGTGGTGCAATCATAGCTCTCTGCAGACTAGAATTCTTGAGCTCAAGTCATTCTCCCACTTTGGCCTCCCAAAGTGCTGGGATTACAGGTGTGAGCCACCACATTTGGGCTGCTCAGGTCTTATGGTTAATAAGTGAAATCAATTAGGAGTCTACAGGACAGAAGACTTTAATGGTGGGGGCAGAGGCGGGCAGTGGGCTCTATCAATAGGCATTGGTCAAAGGGCCATAACAGAAGGTGAGATGAAACCAATATTAAAAAGGATCTCCTGGCCAAGCACAGTGGCTCATGCCTGTAATCCCAACACTTTGGGAGGCTGAGGCAGGTGGATCACCAGAATTCAGGAGTTCAAGACCAGCCTGGGCAACATGGCAAAACCCCATCTCTACTGAAAATATAAAAATTAGCTGGGCATGGTGGCACACATCTGTAATCCTAGTTACTCAGAAGGTTGAGGCAGGAGAATTGCTTGAACCCAGGAGACAAAGGTTGCAGGGAGCCAAGATTGTGCCACTGCACTTCAGCCTGGGTGACAGAGCAAGACTTTGTCTCAAAAAAAAAAAAAAAAAAGGATCGCTGGCGTCTTGTTCTCCCTTCTTCCCATTATAGCAGAAAGACACAGGATTTAAAGTCACCCAATCTCTACCATTTATTTATTTATTTATTTATTGAGATGGAGTTTCAGTCTTGTTGTCCAGGCTGGAGCGCAAAGGCGTGATCTCGGCTCACTACAACCTCTGCCTCCCAGGTTCAAGTGATTCTCTTGCTTCAGCCTTCCGAGTAGCTGGGATTACAGGCCACCACAACTACTTAATTTTTGTATTTTTAATAGAGACGGGGTTTCACCATGTTGGCCAGGGTGGTCTTGATCTCTTGACCGTGTGATCTGCCCACCTCAGCCTCCCAAAGTGCTGGGATTACAGGCGTGAACCACGGCGCCCAGCCATTGTTGTTATAGATGTCATTGTTGAGACTCCATCTCAAAATAATAATAATCATAACCACGTCCACTAATATTTCAAAGGGTTTTCTCTATGCCTGGCCCTGGGCTGAGTGTTTTTCAGCCATTAACTCCTTTATTCTTCACAGCAACCTACAGAGGGACTAATGTTAGCCTCTCTTTTTTTAGATGAGGAGATAAGGCCCCAAAGGCCAGGAGCCTCCCTGGCTCAAGGGGAGATGGTGTGGGGCAGGGGAAAGACATAGGCCTTTGGGGTAGACTTGCTATAGACCTAAGACATTGCTTAATCTCTCAGAGTCATAAAGGCCACCAGAAATTAGGCTCTAGTGACAAAGCTAGTGAGCTCAAACCAAAGGCTAGGGTCGTTCAGGTGTTCTTTGGAGAGCTGTCTATAGCAAGATACCTGCTGAGGACCAAGATTTGGCCCTAGGGAAGGAAACCTGCTGGGTGGAGTTTGGCATCAGCCTGGGAAGTGGGGCAGGGAGGAGCATGGCTGGAGGGGTCCCAGGAAGGGGTGAGGAGGCTGAATTGAGACATTCTTGAATGTACAAGGAAATTCAGCCCCGAAGGCTCTGGGCCAGAACCTGGGGTAGTGGAGGCATGCTCTGTTAGTGCAGAGCCCTTGAGATTTTTTGGTAATAATAATAATTATTATAATTATTATTTATATATTATAATATAAATTATCATATTATATAATAATTATATAATAATAATAATAATTATTATTATTATTTTTTTAAAGACAGGGTTTCACCATGTTGGCCAGGCTGGTCTTGAACTCCTGACCTCAGGTGATCCGCCCACCTGGGCCTCCCAAAGTGCTGAGATTACAGGTGTGAGCCACCACGCCTGGCCAATTATTATTATTTTTAATGGGGCTGAGTGCAGTGGCTTACATGGGAAGTGAGGTACTGGGGAACAGAAGGTGTGCCAGTGACTTGTCTGTGATTAGCTGTCTCTTGGAACAATTGTTCTCCCCAACCTGGAGCCCCTTTCTTGTTGCTTACTGATCTTATCAGGACTCTGCAGATATGGCAAAAAAAGAGAGAGAATTTGTAATTTTTCCATTTTTTAAAAAAGCTTTATTTTTGTAGACTGGGCACAGTGACTCACGCCTATAATCCCAGCACTTTGCAAGGCCAAGGTGGATGGATCACTTGAGGTCAGTAGTTTGAGACCAGCCTGGGCAAGATGGCAAAACTCAGTCTCTACTAAAAATACAAAAATTGACTGAGCACATTGGCTCATGCTTGCAATCCCAGCACTTTGGGAGGCCGAGGCGGGCACATCACCTGAGGTCAGGAGATCGAGACCATCCTGGCCAACATGGTGAAACCCCGTCTCTACTAAAAATACAAAAATTTGCTGAGCGTGGTGGCATGCACCTGTAGTCCCAGCTACACGGGAGGCTGAGGCAGGAGAATCGCTTG